GTCGAGTTAGTCAACAAATTCAGTCAGCTAATTGCAGTGGCTTCGTAGATAAAAGTTGCAATAAGTGTAAATCAGTTTCTTTCGTCAGGAGCCGTACTCGACAATGGATGGCAGTACGTAACGCAGCATTGCGAGTGTACAGAGAAGCTCCAGCACCAGAAACTTGGGACAACTACGTAGGCCAACTTAACCACTGCACTCAATTGCTAAGAGAAGACAGCCGCCTATCAGCGCAACATAGCAAAACCTTCAGTGCTAACAAAAAACTGCTGTACAAACGCGTCACTAGCCTTAGAAAGTTGAGGCAAGGATTTTCTCCACTCAGGACGGCTGATGACTCAATAAGAACGGCTGTAGAAGCAGCAAACGTGCTGCAGTTGCAATATGCCCCTACGTTTCATAGGGTCTTGACCCAAGCGATCTATCAACCATTGTCGTCTCCTCGCCAGGACTAACCCACATCACTTTTACCGCGGAGACTGTATTGCAGAAGCTGACTTCTCTACGCAAACACAGCTCGCCGGATGTCGACACCATTCGTCCAGAGGATTTGGAAGCAGCAGCAAGCCAACTGGCAGGATATCTAGCTCAGCTTTTCCAGCGCTGCTTAGACTGGTATCAAGTTCCCGCTGTGTGGAAGCTCGGGATAATAACCCCGATTCACAAAGGTGGAAGCAGAACTGATCCCTCCAACTATCGCCCAGTATCCCTTCTTCTTATAATCTCCAAGCTTATGGAATCCATAGTTGCCGAAGCACCGGCGTACCATCTGGAAAACTTTCACAACATCACGCCTGAACAGCATGGATTCCATCGACAGCGGCCATGCGCAACTAAGTCACTAATCGCAAGCAGTTTTTGGACTGAGTAAGCAGACGCCGAAGTAGGCCATGATGTGATCTAGCTAGATTTTTTCAAGGGTTTCGATCGTCTAGAGCATCGGATACTACTCTTCAAGCTCCAGCATTACGGGATCGGCGACCCTCTTTTAAGCAGAATTGCCGACCTTCTACTTCAACTGCGATTAGTGGTCAGAGTTCGGAGCTCTTTGTCTGATCCCATACAAGTCGAGTTTGGTGTGCCGCAAGGCTCAGTTCCAGGTCCACGTTACATTTTGGTGTTTATTAATGACCGTGCACAAAGCATCGCTTCAAATTTCCTAATGTTTGCCGACGATATCAAGAGCTGGCGCAGGATCCAGGCGATCGCCGACAAATATGTACTTCAGAGTGACCTAGATACGGAGTATCAATGGTCAACCCAAAATTTACTGCATTTCGACGTCAGTAAATGCAAAGCACTTTTCATCCGACATCAAAACAGCTGCTCATACCGGCTCGGAATGAATATACTACAACGATCTACTATCGAACGTAACTTGAGTGTCCTGGTTCAAGATGGCTTGGGTTGCTCCCGACAATCCGGAAAAGCCTCGAAGACCGGGAACCAAGACATCAGGCTTTTGCGACGGGCGTTTGGACAAATAAACAGCTCCATATTTCGACAAATGCTCAGTGCGTATGTTCGCCCCCATGTCGAATACGCAATTCAAGCCTAGCATACATGGTTGAAACATGACCTTAATGCACTGGAGCGGCCACAACATCGGGCATCTAAGAATGTAATTGGAATTGGCACTCTTTCATACCATGAGAGGCTGCAACGATTAGGGGTATACAGTGGAAGCTATCACAGACTAGCAGACGACCTGATAATCGCATACTTGATTCTGCAAGACCCACATCATGTGTGGCTCCCTTTACTGCAACTCAGCAGCAATGCAATCCTGAGGGGTTACTCGTTGAAAATCGCTGTACAGTATAGTCGCCTGGAGTGCCGCAGAAATTTATTTTTCATTCGTGTTTGTCACCCGTGGAATACTATCCCAGAATCGGTTGTCTCTGCACCGACATTGACAGTATTTCAAAGACGCTTGGATGATGCACTCATCCAATTACAATCTTTCACTTAGCACCACGTCTCCATCCAACACCTGGAGTTTACCATGGAATTATTTGATGTTAATTGAAGGTGCTGTGAATCTAAGAGGATTACAGGATTACGGCGGAGCAAGCGATAAGTCCTTATTTTCATATTTGTAATACTGACTATTTTACTATCATTGTTATCATTATTGTTATGTCGTTATCCTCCCCAACCATCCAACAGGACTTATAAAGCAACGCTTCTCAACCCGTATAAGTTCATTGTTCATTTAGAATTCATTACAGTGTTTACCATTCAAGTGTTTAGCGAATGACCTCTGCAGGTGCTCCACTGCAATTCTGTCACTCGTTCTCATATTGCTGTATATTATGCTGAAGTATTAAAAGATGTGGCGAGTGAGTAGCTTGAAAAGCTCAACTCTAGAACGAATTGGGTGTATTTTGTTTGGTATATTGAATATAGACTGTCCGGCACGTGCCTGTTCGGAGAAATCGAAGGTAGACGAGTAGCTAATTCCAAGAGCTTGTGTGGACAGCTGTGTAGGGACACGTTCGATATTTAGAGTGATAGACCCTTCAGGGATGCATCAGCTGTAATACATGATGCTTGAATTCTTAGCCGAGAGGTTCATCACTCATGTGCAGCACCATGACTAAAAGGAATGTAAGTCATCTTGAATGAACAGTAGTCTCCCGTGAAGCCGGTCACCTCGGAGTTTATAGAAGATTTTGATACCTTCAGCAAATAAAATGGCGTACCATGTTTTACAGATGTGGTGATGTCATTGATGTAGAGCAAAAGGAGTGAGGGACCGAACACGCTCCCTTGGATGACCCCACTGATGATTGAGCGTGGAGAACAGCGCTAATCACATAAAGTGACTATCTGCTGATGACGATCACTCAGGTATGACGATAGCCGACCTAGTACTGAATCCTGAAACCTAAACTTCTCCAACTTTTGTAACAGTCGCTTGTGCGGTACTCGGTCGAATGCTTGGTGTATGTCAAGGAACAGGATTATTACTGCATAGCCGGAATCGATTGCTTCTGAAATGTGGTTAGGGTAATGCAATTGACAGGTGGTGCATGATCGCTTGTTAAGAAAAGCATGCTGCGAATTATTGATCAGGCCAATAGAAGCAACAAAGTTCATCATCTATTTCTGAGAAGCTTTTCAAAAAGCCGAGCGATTGTCAGAGTGTGGTGGACTGGTCGGTAGTTATCAATCGTTTGTTTAAGACATCCTTTATGCCGAGGCATAATAAATGACGTTTTCTATTGGCCTGGAAAGTGGCTAGATTCTAACCATTGAGTGAAGATGCTCATCAGGAGCAATGCAATATCAGGCCCTCCTAGTATAATGGTATTTCGTTAAATGCTATCAGATACCAACTTGAAAGATGGCCTGATGGATTTGATAAATCGGTGGATAGGGTTGAGCGAGATATCGACTCTGCTTAAGAGCTTTGTTACTGTAAGCTCAGGGTCAGCTTCGCGACTCACGGTAGTGGCGTTTGCAAACATTTCTCGCCCCATGGTCGTAAGCGACTGCAACATACGCAGTTCATTCACTGTTAAGTACCATGGTACGTATATTTCTCATAATCTATCTTGGTCTACACAACTTGAGGAAACGTTCTGCAAGTAGCGGAAATTAGTAGTTTATGCCATGTGGCTCAACATGTTTTCAGTACGTTGATCTTCAATTTACAACTTTGTGACTGCATGTATTCCTCCAACTAGCTATACTACTCACCCATCCATTTTCCTACCCGAATTGATTGTGTGTCGTATTAAGCTTTCCACTAGATGCAGTGCAGAGAGTCTGATTGACTTCAACTTTATGAAGCTTGTTGGTGCATACGATAACTATTCAATAAAGGTTTTAAATGACACATTTCACCTCTTCAGGCTGATTTATCAAAACCTCTCTCTTGCTTGTTGCGCGCTCTAAATCTAGGCTTTAGTTTTCTCGCATAACTTGTTCACAAATCCATGTTACCTTATTTATCCCATTTACTTGTGGAATGCACGTAATTTATCAGAATCACGCGTGAACCTTTGATTTAGTGATTTGTAGCATATTTCCTTCTTTTTTCGATTTGATTACATTTTCATGCCAATGATCTGCCTTGAACGAAGGTGCGTTCTAATCACGCATTTGTGAACACGTAAATTTTTTAACGCTTAGCCGCATATTGTCACACACTATTGAATCCATAATTATTGGTCTTGATTTTGCAAGCATCACTTCGTGAGATCATTTTATCGAGCACACTACAGTGCAACCTACGTGTATCCTGAATTGGAAATTCTGAGCAGAGGTTCACCGATATCCAAGCGCTAGAAGTTGCGCACCTCAAAACATGCGATACATTGCTTGGTTTCACTCGATAGAGCATTTCAAGGGCTTTCGAAAGAACTCTCAGTAGTTCAAGTCCAACATTGTTTCTAGAAGCTCCAGAATAGTTGGCGCTTCTCTGCAGGGAACTCTTAATCTCGGTAAGTTCACCACGAATCCCTCTCGTGATCTGCCTCACGGGCACGCTGACGCATGCGACCAGTATGTCAGACAGGACGGTTACAATTACACAGGTACGAGGTGACCACTGAGGCTCTGGCACCAACGTCAGAACCACGAGAACAACTGCTACCGTTAAAAGGTAAGTTATTCCAATGGTACGTAACATTCGCTCAAAGGCCGCAAGGACTAGTGTGCGTCAGGCTGCAGATATGTTGATGATGTGCAAAACTTGTCAAAGTAGGCGTTCCGAGTCACAACTGTTGCAACAGTTTCCATGCTAAAATTTTCCCAGTGTTGTAAGGCTGCCAGACCAAAATACTACATAAACCATATTATCTCTGGTTCTGCGAGAAATGCACGTCCATCTCAAGAAAAAGATGTGTTACCGACAATCCGGTCTTGGCTTTGAACGATTGGTAAAAATTCCCGGGACAATTAAGAAAACAAAGCTGTGTATAGGTACGGCGCGGATAAACTGGGGATTAAAATAACAAATCAAAACACTAATCTCAACTGGGTCCAGACAAAAGACCTACAACAATCATTTGCCAAATTGAAATGGTCAGAAACAATGCAGCGCAAAGCACACGGGTGCCAACGCGTTCCAGTCACATGAAAAACTGACGGGGCTTTATCATGGGGAAAAGAAAATCATACGATCCATAAACCAATCAGTCCGTCCACTCAGGCAAGCGGCAACAGGGCCCACTAGTAAAGCACAATTATATGAGTCATTGTCAAACATTAGGTCAGGATGGCCAGCACCAATGATTGAAGAGTGAAAAGTGGAGTTTGCGTGAGTGTTAACGACTTGAAATAACAAAGTTTGGGCAGAACTTAAAGCACGCTTTGCGGCAGGTAATGGCACGCATGATTATTCAAATCGTCCGTAACACTCCCCCGCCAAACGCCTTCCTGGTGTTTCTCTTGCTTTCCTCTTCTCCCTCTCTTTTCGCTCTGGCACCCGATGACTTCCCGCAGTAAGCATTGTGTGAAGATAAATAATGTTCTGCCAAATACAACCAAGATGAAAAATTTTGTCTCCCACAGGCTGATTTAGTATAAGCAGTTCAACGGCAGCCGGCTGAGATAACTGATTCCAACTGGCACGTAAACATGTAGAGTACTTGATTGAGCTATTAGCTACGCTGCGTAGAAGTAGAAATGGTGAATTACAAGGTAAATAACAGGGTTTAATGGCTTTATGACCATCAGTGAAGTACAGCACCAATGATTCTAGTAGTCAGCACAAATTCAATTAGATACATAGGTAGTCACCGAGACAAATCACTGCAGGTTAAGCAAGTCACCGCCGACATGATCGGTGTTCCAGCATTGACGTCAAACGAAGTAGAAAAGCGCCAACATCAAAAATTGATAGCTTCAAGTTTTGTTTAGTTAGCTCCGCTGCAACAGTTTGCGACGAGGGTCTATTGGATTCCTCAGTATCCTTACTTACTTTACAAACCACTTTCCTTATTTGCTGTAATTAGGTAGTATTGTTCAGAAGGAAACACAAAGGAAAGAAACTAAAATTTTATAAGCATAATGGTGCTTCGAAGATCCAAGCACAAAAACACGGCACAAGCACGGCGCGTTAAGATGTAATTTCATCGCATCAGATGGAGAGAGCAGGCCTCGAAAAAGGAACATTGAAATAGGAGCCGAAAACCCCCACCAATATGGCTACCGGGTCACGGCGGGCAACGCTTTTGACAACGGCCACTAACATTGAGATTGCGCGTCGCAATCCAATCACACAACATGTAGTAAAACTTGACATCTACTTGGTCATTTACCTTTGTGCCAAGCGTTGCCAGTTGTGACCGGGTAGTGAAAGGGGTAGAGGATTCGGCTACTATTCAAATGGTCGAGGGTTCGAGGCCTGCAGTCTCCACTTGCTGAGATGAAATAACATCGGAGCACGTCGTGGTTGTGCTAGGTATTCGGCTGGGCAACAACTAATTTCCATCTGCTTTAAGTACGGTCCCAATGATCGCAGTGGCTAACGTTCAATTCAATGTGAATCACGGTCCAGTACATTGAGATTGCGCGTCGCAATCTAATAACACAACGTGTAGTCCAACCTTGTACTAGAGAGGTAAGCGGAGCCAATGTCTAGATACGAGGTCGCGCAGAGGCGTACCTCGGAGCACTGAGCTGTCTGCTGCATGCGAAGGTCACGAGCACGAGCGGGGAACTACCTTCGACTGTTTTGCCAAATTCGGGAATCGAGTGCAAACTGATTGGCCAGCAAATACAAGCCCGCGTCAACGGAGGCGAACCATTCTGCCAAATATGGAAAATCCGTTGGACGGAAATAACTCAAATTGGCTGAGAGCCAAACGCTCCCAAAATTAGTATGTTTCGTTCACTAAGAAATAGAACTGACCTGTCGTGTAGAATAGACTCCCTGTTTACCGAGCATTGGCTTTCTGTATCCCGTCGGTTGGTTGGGCGCTTGACTGAGCAATCAGGCGGTCGTAGTCTCGCAGGCGCAGAATAGCAGCAGTGCAGCAGTTCGAAGGCAGCTTTACAACAGTGGAGACAGGAGTCAGAAGAACCCAAAGATGTCACTCAGTTTTGAGCAATTGCAGACTCTGTTGCAGCAACAGCAGGCACAGTTTGGGAAAGCACAGACCAACTTGCTCGAAACGCTGACCAAGAACTTGTCACTACAAGCAGGGTCGGTAACAGGAAGAAGTGAACGTTCCCCTCAGTAGAAACCGTGACCCAGCAAGTTTGTGCGTTCCGTTATGATGCTGATATCAGTATTACCTTTGAATCGTGGCTCCATAACTACGAAGACCTGTTTCGCGTTGATTTAGCCGGTGTTTCAGAGGACAAGAGAGTTCGCCTCATGTTGTGGAAATCGGGGGCGGCCGAGCATCAAAATTTTATGAATTTCATCTTGCCGGAATAGAGCACCGATTTAACATTCGATGAAGCGTTGCTACTTTGTCCCAAATATTTGGAGAGCAGTCGTCATTATTCAATATCCGATACAAGCGCCTGACAATGACTAAGCGAGACGACGACGACCGTGTTCCTTCCTGAGTTCACTTGTTCGCCGAGCTTCGTAGTCGGTATGTAACGCAGCATTAGATAAACATGCACATTGAGGTTGATCCAGTGTACCAAACGTTAAGACGGATGGAACTAAAACACCTTAAAAAAGAAGAAACCGTCGTGGTCGGCTAAACGAGCCATCAACAACACCTCGACAACAGACGGGGCAATACCAATACCGTATCTATCAGAGTTGGGATGACCGGTGAAAGTCACGGGGCACAGATCGAGGCCAGTTCAAAAGTCACTAGCTGATCGATCACAAATCGACGAACAAGTCAGCGGATTAGATTGGACCCAGCAACGCACTGACTAAGTCACCTCACTTGGTGATGAAACGTTTGCATCCCAACTCCGAAGCTCGGAGAACAAGTGCACTCAGAACGAGCGACCCGAGCTATTAGTGAATGAAGTCATTTTGGACTGGGTTACTTACTCGATTCGCGTAAATCATTAGTATGAACAGTCCCTGTTTCACAAGATGACAGCTGATCAGGACAAGTGCGGTGTGTGGTCTTCAAGCAACCAAAGATGCTGATGCCCGAACAAGAGTACCGAGCAGAATTGAACAAAAGCCCGAGATCACACTGCAGGAAGTGACGAGCGAATGCCAACTGTTGTTGAACTTGAAGCATGATGCTGCGATGATCCAACTCATCCATCCAGAGTAGCCAGTACATCTTTTGCAGGGTCAGCCGAAGTCCTCAGAAAGAATCGGTTCATGTGAGTTCACCACATTCTACACCCACTTCTGCTTGTTGGTTTTGCAGGGAATGGCACTTTGGTCGAAACTGCCCGTTCCAAAACCACATTTGCAATCGCTGTGGTAAGCGAGGACACAAAGATTCGTGTTGTCTTACGAAGCGACCAACAATGAGCGTAATAAGGCGTCGAATCTCGGTACGCTTCCGATGTCATAACGAGGCCAAAACTGGGACGGCGACTTTCAAGTTTGACGATGTCAGCAGGCGTAATTTTATAGTTTTGAAGATCAATGATAAGGAAGTTAACCTGCAGCTGGATACTGCATCAGACATTACTTTAGTTTGTCCAGACACATGGTGAATGCTGAGATGATCACCGCTTGTCCACAGACCACAGCACAAAACGCATCCGGCGGTATTTCGAAACTACTCGGAGAGTTGCATTGTCAGGTCATTTTCCGTGATTAGCACATTCGTACAACCTGTTTTGTGACAGATCAACCAGGATTGAATGTTCTGGGTCTCTATTGGATGGATGTATTGAAATCACTTGACCAGTCAGTTAAAAGTATATGTAGGAAATTACAATTCGAGAAACCAGCAGAGACAAAGAATATGAATCTCGAACTTTACGGTCAAATTACAGAATTGAAACGACGCCACGAAAGTTTGTTCCAGCCAGGTTTTGGATGCTGAAGGATAGCCAGAGCTGAGTTGAACCTCAATCCAGACGCCAGACCAGTTTTTAGACCAAAACGTCCAGTGCCGTACGTAACACAACCAATCGTGGAGTCTGAGTTGAATCGGTTGAAGTCGGAAGGCATAATCGACCGTATAGGTTACTCAGTATGGGCGGCACCCATCGTTGTGTTAAAGAAAGGAAACGGCAAGGTACCTATTTGTGCTGACTTTTCAACCGGATTAAATTTCGTGTGGGATAATAACCAGTACCCTTTGCTTATACCTGAAGATATGTTCACCAAGCTTAACGGTGGAAAATGATTTGCGAAACTCGATCTAGATGATGCTTACTTACAAGTTCCAGTAGCCGAGAACTTCCGTACACTACTGACGGTCAATACGTATCTGGGTCATTTTCAGTACCATCGGTTTTCATTCGGAGTGAAAACTGCTCTCGCCATTTTTCAACAAAGCATGGACACTCTGCTGAACCATATCCCTGGGGTCGCAGTATACTTTGATTATGGGGGCTGACCCACAAGTATTGATGGCCACGTTAGAGAACGTGCTTAGTCGTCTAGAAGAAGCTGGATTCCGGGTACGAACGGAAAAATGCAATTTCCTGATGGGTGCATCATTGACGAACATGGCCGTTGTCCGGATCTCGCTAATATAGAAGCCGTCAAGCAAATGCCACCACCAAGGGATGTTGCCGGACTTCGTTCATTTCTCGGTCTTATAAGTCATTATATTGCCATACTGCCAAGTCTACATCAGACTGGAGGTCTTCTGAACCAGTTGCTGATGAAAGGGAAATAATGGCGATGGACAAAAGAGTGCCAACAATCCTTTGATACAGTTAAAACAGCGCTCAGTTCTGATTTAATTTTGACCCACTTCAACCCAAACTTGGAGATTGTTGTTGCTTCGGACGTCTCCAATTATGGGGTAGGTGCTGTCATTTATCATGTGTTCCGTGGAGGAGAAGAGCAGACCCTTGCGTCGGCGGCACGGTCGCTGACAGTGGCGAAGAAAAATTACAGCCAGATTGAGAAGGAAGCGCTGGCGATTGTTTTCGCAGTGAAACGGTTTCATAAGGTGATATATAGTCGACATTTCAAACTGATCACGGACCACAAACCTCTCGATTTTTGGATCAAAGAAGGGTATTCCTCTTTTCACAGCAAGTCGGTTACAGAGATGGGCAACCATACTGCTGGCTTACGATTTTAGTATACAATATCGATCTACACAACAATTCGGCCAAGCTGACGCTCTATCTCGGCTCTTCCTTTCACACTTGAAGGAAAACGATGAATGCGAGATTGCATCTGTCAAATTCGAGTCGGAAATTCAGCGCACCCTGGTTGACAGTTTAAGGGAGTTGCCAGTAACGTCGGACACTATTCGTACAGAGACGGCTCGAGACGATATCTTGCTGAAAGTGATAAGGTTTGTGCAGTTCAGTTGGCCTAATATCAGAATTCCGAATGCGTTACAACCTTTCTTTAATCGACGCGGATCCCTTTCGCTCGTTGGCAATTGTCTAGTGTTTGGAGACCGAGTCGTGGTACCGAGGAAGTTGAGGAAGCGAATACTACAGCAGTTCATTCAGGACATCCGTGAGCCAGCAGAATGAAGGCGCGAAGTTGTGTGTACTTGCCTCAAATAGATGCAGAATTTGAGCAGTTCTGCCAAAGTTGTGAATCTTATCAACAAGCGGCAAAGGCACCTCCAAGATATTCGTGGCACTCTTGGCCCGAGTCGAAGAAGCCCTGGCAGAGAATCCACTTGGAATATGCGGGACCAAGCAACGGTCATTCTTATTTCATTTTGATTGTTTCCTACACAAAATGGCCCGACGTGCTTCCGATGCAAAATCCCACCGCCCAGCACACTAGCAATGGGCTGAACAAACTGTTCCACTATTTTGGCACCACGGAGATGCTGGTTACAGACAACGGAGCCCAGTTCACCTCAACGCTGTTCCGAGAAATTTGCAGGATAAACGGAATTCAGCACAAGTTTTCGCCGCTGTACCATCCACAATCGAATGGGCAAGCCGTACGGTTTGTAGATACCTTTAAACGTACTCTTCTCAAAGCGGAAGCAACAAGAGTGTCACGAGATGCAATTCAGCCGTTTTTGAGAATGTATCGAAACACTCCGAAGCTAAACACACCGGAGGGTAAATCACCTTCTAAATGTCTATTTGGACGAAAAATTACTACGACATTCGATAGCCTGATTGCGAGAAATGTTAGAAAACGCAACGGACAACCAAGAGAGGAGCAGGATAACAGCCTTCGCAGGTTCACGATTGGCGACTTGGTGTATGCATGAAACTTCCAGACCCCGTAAAGCTGGGTTAGCGGAACGGTCAGTGGAAAGAGGAGTAAAGTCATTTATGAGATAATGGTCAGAAAGGGTAAGTGGACCAGACACATCAATCATCTACGACAGCGGCATGGCAAAACTCAAAGACATCAAGAACCAAAGACAATGCATCGGGACATACTACTGGATACATTTGGTATAGAAAACAGCGCTGATCTCCAAAGCGGAACACAGCTGATCGCACAGACTCCACACGACGTGACATTTAGGCCAAGTCGAAGAAGAAGGCAACCGCGATGGCTACAAGTGGACCCCAGGGTAAAAAGCTACAACCAAGCCCAAGTGCAGAGAATTGGTAGGAGCAAACATTTCAAAGGGAGAGGTAGTAGAGAGGTAAGCAGAGCCAATGTCTAGATACGAGGAGGCGCACAGACTGGCCGTGGTTTTGCAGAGCTTCGGGCAAGCACCACCCAAATTCTATTTGCTTTGAGTTCGCTCTCAATTGTCGCAGTGACGAAGGTTCACTTCATTGTGAATCACGGTGCATTAGATTGAGATTGCGTGTGGCAATACAATCACACAACGTGTGGCACAAACTTCACCCTCCAATCAGTCGTTTACCGTTGTTCCATACGTTTGCCGCCGTGAACCAGTAGCTAACATGTAGAGGTTTCCGCTACCATTCCAATGGTCGTGGTTTCGACACCTTCGATCTCCACCTGATGAGATGAAATTACATCGAAACGCGTACTGTTTGTGTTGTATTTTCCGGCAAGGCGACACCGAATTTTCATCTGCTTGGAGTACGGTCTCAGTGATCTCAGTGATTAAGGTTCACTTCGATATAAATCACGGTCGACTACATTGAGTGCGCGTCGCAATCCAATCAAGCACCGAGTAATCCAAACTTGACCCTTGAACTAGGCATTTACCGTGGTGCCAAGCGTTGGTTCTTCAGTCATGGTAACTAAAAGGTAGAGATTTCCGCTACCATTCAAATGGTCGCGGTTTCGACACCTTCGGTCACCACCTGGTGAGATGAAATTACATCGAAACGCGTCGTGGTTTTGCAGTGTATCCGGGCGGGCGAAACCGAATTTCCATCTGCTAGGAGTACAGTCACAGTGATCGCAGTGACCAAGGATTACTTCAATGCGCATCACAGTCCATAACATTGGTATTGCGAGTCGCAATCCAATCATACAACGTGCAGTCCAAACTTGACCACCTAGTTAGTCATTTCCTGTCGTGCCAATCGTTCCCTGCCGTGACCCGGTATCTTAGGGGCTAGAGGGATTTCTACCAATTCAGCGGTTATGTTCTCGTGGCCTGCCGTCTCCACCTGATGAGATGAAATTACATCAAAACGCGTCGTGGTTGTGCGGTGCTTTCAGGCAGCCAATAACAAATTTCCATCTGCTTTGTGTACGGTAGTAGTGATCCCAGAGACTAAGGATCACTTCAAATTGGATCACCGTCTATTACATGGAGTTTGCGCGTCGCAATCCAATCGCTCAAAGTGCATTCAAAACTTGACCCACCAATTAGCCATTAACCGTTGTGCCATGCGTTGATCGTCGTGGCCAGTTAGCCAAATGGGTGGAGGTTTCGGCTATTATTTCAACGGTCGCTGGTTCGAGGATTGCTGTCTCAACCTGATGCGATGATAGTATATTAAAAGGCGTCTTGGTTGTGCAGAGTTTTCAGGTGAGAAACATCCCACTGCCATTTGCTTTGGATATGGTCCCAGTGATGGCAGTGACTAAGGTTCACTTCAATGTAAATCACTGTTCATTACATTAAAATCGCTCGTCGAAATCCAATCACACAACGTGTAATTCAAACTAGATCCTCCAATTAGTCGTTTACCGTTGTGCCAAGCGTCGCCATGCAATCACCCGGCGTGTAATCCAAACTTGACCCTAATATTATTCACATACCGTTGTGTCAAGTGTTGCGCGCCGTGACCCGGTAGTCAACTTAGTATTGGTTTCGGCTACTATTCCATTGGTCGCGTGTACAAGGCCTGCCGTTTCCACCAGATGAGAGAAAATTACATAGAAAGACATCGTGGTTATGCAGTGTTCTCTGTAGAGCAACACGCAATTTCCATTTGCGTTGAATGTTGTCCCAGTGATCGCAGTGACTATCGTTCACTTTAATGAGAAGCACAGTCCATTACATGTAGATTGCGCGCCGCAATCCAATTGCCGCAATTTCCATCTGCTTTGAATACATGCCCAGTGATCGCAATGACTATGGGTCACTTCAATGTGAATCTCGGTCCATTACATGGTGATTGCTCGTCACAACGTAATCATGCAGCATGTAGTATTAACTTGAATCTTGATTAATGCTGCTTATTCGTATGGTTTTTCCTTTAAATAATAAGTGGAAAATTGTTTATCAAAATTGTCACTATGAAGTTACATTACTGAACAAGATATGGTCAAAGCGGCCTTTTTATTATTGCGGTACATCAGAAGGTTCATTTCGAACGTGCTCTGGATTTGCTTTTTGAATGATACACATTCCACATTTCCCCCTTGCTGCAACAAATAATATCCAGAGAGCAGCACCGTTCTGTGTCCTAATGTTTTTAAGCACAGAATACTTGCTTTTCCTTTGCTTCTTTTGTTCATTTGTTGATGACATCGTACCGAGTGCATGATCATCTCTTTTCTTCACGCATGCTTCCCATGGCATCAGGCCACATTGGCAATTTTCTTCGAAACGCCAGCGGTGAGATGTCATGACGCATGCCCTTATACATCGTGTATGTAATGATATATGTCATTTCCATCATTACAGCAATAGTCTTTGCTACCTGTCTTTCAATTTCCAATCATAATCATACATTGAGCACAGCATATCTGCTTTGTCCATACCGGCCATGTCTGAACTATACTCTTGTAATATCTTAGGTGCTACTACTTTAGTCATTTATTTATTCCGCTTTATAATCCGCACAGTATTTGAATCAATTACATGACAATTTGGCAATAGATGGGATTCGCATAAACATTCATAACATAAATATGTATATGCAATATTAAAAACGACGATATTAATAGCTATTAAAATTAGTATGTTACAAGAATAACCTGCTAAAATCTTTGAATTTTGCAATCCACACCATTGTTATCCCCAGTAAGTGCTTTGACTGTTAATATGATGCTTGTAGTCTGGCGGTACTTTCTGGTAACAGTATATATTTTGGATTATTATATAAAAATGACATCAAAATTACAAAATAAATATACTTAATCATGGCATTTTCAATAAACATCGAATAAATATTAATACTATTAGCGAACTGCAACAAAACTAATTAACTTTTAACAAATAAAAATGCCATTCACTGTTCATCGAAACCAACTTTCGACCATGCTCGAAGCAAAATACAAAAGTTAACTCCACACACTGGCGAGCAAAGGACCAGAATTCTGGCACTTTACAAGTGCTTGTCAGGAAACTATTTACGTATTCCTATTTAAACAAAGTGATAATTACACGTACTACAAGGATACAAAGGCGTAAGTAAACCATGTTGTGGTTGGTCGTTACCAATAAAACATCTCAGTGCCTGGAGTGTGCGCTGGGAGGGGAGGTGCAAAAATCCTCTGTAGTGCAGTACTTATTGTTTGAACCTCCCCAGTCTTCCAGCTCGACGTGACTTTGGCACGCGCTTTTTCTTAGCCATTGAATTACTCGAACTAAGTCGTTGTTTCTGATCGAGTCGCATTCTGAACGGTGTGCGTGTGCTATATCTGTGATTCTTATAACTGATTCAACTCCCGGTCGTTAATACCAGTTATTCTGCACAACTCGTTGAGTTCTGTTGTATAAAGAAACCTGGGGTACCGAGCTGGACGGATATTAAGTATATGGGCGAAGTAACAGGATGTCGGAAATAAAAAGTTTTATGAAGTGCCTACTGAAGTTGCAGTAGCGGCTGACGCAGAAATATCACAGCCTAGTCCGCAAGACGACTTCCCACAGCTGCTCCCACAACAACATTCTATGCCCCGCCTCTATTCCATGTCATGGAAAACCCCCAAAATCCTTTTCTATGACACCCCAACATTACTCACCAACTGAGATTCCCACCACTAGGCCCCATTAATATCTGTACTAAAACATCATCGTTGGAGTCAATACAACCTAGAGATCTTCGAATCACCAATGCCCCACTGTGCCACAACTCTAATAACAATGCTAGCAAACTGTCCCTCTTAACCCTCCCCGCGGCACCTATTTCCGTAATTCTCTAGGTTCCGCTGTTATAAACATTCCTTCCATACTACCTACATTGCATCTTCTTACAAATTTCGCTTGTCTTAAAACTCCCCATTGGGTTTTCATCACTGAAATGTGATGCAACTCAGAGATAACTGACTCTCAGATTCAAGTTATTGGCTACCACGTGTTCCGAAAAGATCGTCTGAGGGGATGAGGAGGAGAATGCGTTATCTAAATGATATCACAGTAATGCCTGTTGATATTCTGTCCCTCAATGACCTAGAAAAATCGTTGTGGTTAGCAATCCCTCCCAGTGACCTACTACTTCGTTGCATTTATAGATCTCCTATCTCTACCAATCACCATACTGAACAGCTAGTTGACGCCTCAAATATTTCTACAAGCATAAGGTTATTGCCATCCTACTAAATATGCAAAAGGCCTTCGATGGTGTTCTACATGAACGTTTGCTGTCCGTCGTGCTCTCTTAAGGAGTCAGCAACCCATTGCTGAGTTGTTTCAAATCCTATCTAAAAGGTCGCACAGAGTGCGTTAAAATAGGCCAGTAACTCTCCTATTTGAGAGAAGTTTCAAGCGGAGTTGTCCAAGGCACTCTTCTTGGATCACTACTCTTCCTTATGTATTTAAATACCATATGTGATTCCATCAAACATGGACAGGCATACCTCTTTGCGGACGATATTAAACTCCATGCAGGCATTTCCCTTCACGAATTTCAATAAGACAAGAAGAAACAA